TATAGCTGTATTTGATGCATCTTTCAGTCTTGATACAGCTATAATGACCGTGCGTTGTATTCGGGGGAATAAGGTATTGGTGCCAGCTATAATGACCGTACGTTGTATTCGGGGGAAGAAGGTATTGGTGCCAAGCCCTTGAATACAACGTTGGTGGTTTGGACGGCCCAGATACATCCGTCACAATTAGCATCAGATGTATCTTGCCAACGTGGCGCAGTGCCTTTTTTTTTCCCTTTTTGTTTTCTCACTTTACAAACAAGTTTCTGTTGCAAGCGCAGTGCTTTGCGATATCTTTTTTTTTTTTTTTTTTTTTTTTTTTTTTTTTTAATTTTATATGTGCAGGTTTCAAGGCGCTATAATTGGGTCTCGCTCCATTACTCGCCACGTGCACAAAAGACAAAAAAGTAAAATTATGGCGGTGTATCTTTCCATGTTCTTGTTTACAATTCGTTCTCAGTTTGCACATTTGGGCCCACAGCTATTTCCCCCATGCTGCCGTCTTGGCCCCCGAATAGAATTGTAGGGTCCCCTTTTCAGGACCGAGCTTCTTCAATGGGCCAGTCACTGTGGCCCCTCTCCGGTCCGCTCTCCCTATCACCATCAGCAGTCTTTGCTCAATGCCACTCGGCGGCACCAAGGGCATATCTCCAGGTGGCGGCCCCCAAGCTTGCCCAGGAAGGTACATGAGGCCAAATTGAATGGCGTTTGAACCCAAGACCTCCTGAATGCCACTTGCTGGCCTTCCCAACTGAGGGCATACTCACACTACTATGTTGTTACCTACTTTTTTGGACGGAACTGTGGCCAGATAATCCAGGTATGGCGTGAATGCGGTCGGATACATTTGAGATACTGCTACCTTCTTTCCCCGAATACAACGTACGGTCATTATAGATGAATTTGATGTAATACAGCTATAATGACCGTACGTTGTATTCGGGGGAAGACTGTAGTGTGAGTACGCCCTGAGTTAGGCCGCTGGATAATTTGCCATATTATATGACTGCTTTCGCCCACAGAGGAAATTAGCATGGAAAAAACATAAAATAAAAAAAAATTAGCGTCGGAAAAAAAAAAAAAAAAAAAAAAAAAGAGCACCGTTCTGCCAGATGTCGCTTTGCATACTCATAATCAGATCGTGAGTTGGAATGCGGGGACATATGGAATGAACCAAGGCCGATAGCTGGCACATAAACATAATCCCTCGCTTCAATTCACAGCGCTCTAAAATGTATCTGAGTCTCTGGAGCCTCCCGAATACAATCAAAATGTCGAGTTAGTCCAAATAAATGTGATGCATTTTTGCGTCCAGATACACGCTTGATGTTTGCTGATAATCACATCGTGGGCGAGTTCGAACCGCGCGCTGTCATAACGAGTCATTCAAGGCGGCGAGCTGGAACGCAAACATAATCCCTCGCTTCAAAGAACACTCCTAGTAAAAAAAAAAAAAAAAAAAAAAAGGAGAACACTCCTAACGTCGCTGCGAAGTTTCAGATACGTTAGGAGTGTTCTTTCAAACGAGGGATTATGTTTGCGTTCCACCTCGCCGCCTTGAATGACTCGTTATGACAACTAACGTATCTGAAACTTCGCAACGAATGTCTTCGTTAAACCCAAAGACTGCAACTTTTTAAGTGTGCTTTATTCCGCGGGTGATGATCTAACCCGGCCGGCGTACCCATATGCCGGATAATAAACCGTTTACAGTCTGGAAAAAAAAAAAAAAAAAAAAAACTTCGCAGCGACCCCATACATCCAAATTGTCGAGTTAGTCCGAATGTATCTGGCGCATTGTGCGTCCACACACGCAGAATGTCAGAATGGTATTCAAAATGAGTTATTCATAAAAAAAAAAAAAAAAAGTTATTATTATCGCACAGACCATTACAGGGCCGAGGTCCCATTAGCAAAGAGGATCGGATCGAATGCCTTAATGTGGACGTGTTTAATGCAGAGATGCAGAAAAGGAGTTCAATCTCTATTTCCTGCACCTCTCCACAAACGCATCCAGATTCAGGCATTCGATCCGATTGTCTTTGCTAGTGGGACCACGCCCCAGGAGTCACAGTTGGACTTGGAGACATGCAGTGTGGACCACTCACAGGCTCAGACCTGTAAGCTAAACCGGGGCAAGGTCCCACTTGATTTGTGCGATCTACCGTCAATATCTCTTAATTCGTGTACTAAGTGGGACCAAGCCCCCGGCTGAAGCTGGTGGGATAACTCGGGGTGGATGTGATTTTGTGGGAAAAAGAGAAAACGTTCCATTAAAAAAAAAAAAAGAAAAAAAAAAAGTTGTGGGGAATGTTGGATCGTTCCAAAGAGTAAAAGAAAAAGGAAAAAAAAAATGTTGGATTGGGTCTGAGACTCGTTGGCCTTTCGCAAAAAAAAAAAAAAAAAAAAAACACATCGTGACATCGGCCTCTTTTTTTTTTCCATCTTGTCTTGACTTGGACACTTTTATTCTTTTTATCTATATTTCGAAAGAAAAAAGAAAAAAAACATGTTGTTCAGTTCAGATAATAGAATGTTGTACTAGTGGAAGGAGGCTCATCCCTGAGTTCCACCTACCCTGATCTTCGTAATCTACGGTCAGAAATTGATAACTCGGGTAGTAAGTGGGACTTGGCCCCCAGTGTGTGTGGTCATATTGTGTAGCGGACCCACCAGGTGTGGTGCTCCGCTAGTGACAGAGATGGAGATGGAGGAAGAAGGGGGGAGCGAGATGGCACAACGCAGCTCCCCACGCAAGACTCCAACGCACGTACTCCAAAATGTGCAAGTGAAAAATGAGACTGAAAACAGACAATGGCTGGGGTATACCCCAGCGGACTGACAGGACTGAACTGGACTGGCTGGTACCGACAGAGGTACCGGCCTGGACTGGCCTACCCCGAATACAACCCAGGCCTGTGAGAACTGGCCAAGGGGCTGGTCTCACAGGCCAACCCGAGGTCCGCTACACGATCCTCGGTCTGTGATGGATCGCCTAGATACAAACATGCTTCCGCCAAGAAGCGGAACTCTACCAAAGAAAAGAAAACCTGAGTAGTCTAGGGATGCGGAGCAAGCTCCATGCTGAGTCCATGCGATGCAACCTAGGATATAAAATGTCACAAAACAGCAGTGTCACAGCTAACAGCCTAAGTGAAAGCAGAAGCAACTAACTAACATACATGTCCTAGGAAAGCAAAAGCAACTAACTAGCATACATGTCCTAGGAAAGCAGAAAGTAGTGACAACTAGATCCTAGAATGTTGGAGGCACTAGCCTCAATCTGGTAACAACTAACTAGTGTATAAGTCCTAAGAACAGCAAAAGCAGAACAGCTAAATCCTAGAAATGTCGGAGGCAGTAGCCTCAGTCTAAGAGCAACAAAGCAATCAACAAGACAACCATATGTCACATGAKAAGTGTGTCGCAAACCAAAGGGTGGGGTGGTCTCTGAGGGTGGCGAATGCAGCCTAGGGGYCGAAAACTCCTAAGGGCATCCACACATAGTGACAGGGGAAAACACATGTCATCAGGCTCAATGAGGGTAGGGAAMTGGGRGCGAAYAGAACCAATGACCCTAACASATAGACCATCAGGGCGGGTAATGCTCGACTAAGGGGTGACCGCTATGGAGGGTCGACCATGCAAGGGAACAAGGGAGTCTGATATACTGGGCGCACCTAGATGAAGCATGCGGGGCTGCCTAACTAGGGCGTGAGGGTCGGCGAAGGGTAGAAAGATGATGGGTAAGAGAATCATGCAAATGACTCCTAAAGTGAAGGAAGTCGGAGCTAGATCCGTAAGGTGGGAAGCCAGGGCAACGCTACGGTCTCGATGCCTATGCGTATACCAAGGGAAGCCCAACTCAGAGGAACCCGGCTAAAGGGAGACCATCATGCGACACAAGCAGGGTACTGTACAGGGTAAAGTGGTAAGAGAGTAGCGACGTCTGAAGTAGGCAGAGCTGATCGTGACGAAGTCCATGAAGCTGCCTATGACGTCCACGATGAGAAGTCCGGAATGTCGCCGAGGAAGAGCCGCAGCGTCGACGAGCTAAAGTAGCAAAACTGATGTGGGTGGAGTACTGAGAAGTCAAAGACGTGGGAAGGTAAGTCAGAGTCAATCGTCGTATCGAGCAGGACGACGACGAGTGCGCTGTGGATGCTCAGAAGCATCCGGCTGCTACTGAAGGTCTGCCTCAGATGAAGCAGGCTCGACTTCAGCGGTCTCCTCAACCGGAGGAGAAGGAGGAGGGTCAATGGGCTGAGGAGGAGCAGTGAACTCAGCACAACGAGCACAGTCATAGGCACGCACCAACATGCGAGCGTGCTGCAAGTGCTCGAGGGGCTCCCAGGTAGCCTCCTCATCAGGGTAACCCTTCCAACGTACGAGATACTCGACGTGGGGAGGGTTGTCGTCGGTGACTCGGCGACCAATATTGTCTGAAACGAGGAACTCCTCGTGACCGTCCACCATATTGGGTGGAGGGCGCTCGTATGGTCGTCCGGCGAAACGCTCAAACGGTCTGCGGTAAGGACGCAGTAACGAGACGTGGTACACATTGTGCACACGAGTCTGCCGTAGGTAGTCGGGCAGCTTCACACGGAAGCTGACCGGGCTAGAAGCCGTATCCGAACCGACGGCCTGGAGGTAGCGGCATGGACCAAAGAAGCGACGCCGAAACTTGCGAAGCGTATCCGCTTCGAGCTGTAAGTGGCGGGCGTCGATAAACACATCATCACCGACTTTGAATGGATAATCCATCCTCGATCAGTTCGCACGTGCTGCCATGCGAGTTTGGGAAGCGGCTATGTGCTCATGTGCGGTCTTCATGATCGACGTCATGTGTGCAACCCAATCATCCAGCGCGTGACAACTCGTGTCGGGGTGCATCTGTTACAGTCGAAGGAAGTCCGCGGGAACACGAGGGTGATATTCGAGGTCGCAATAGTAAGGCGACATCCCCGTGGTTGGCGAGACGGCGTGGTTGTAGGCTGTCTCCGCGTGGGCAAGATGGAGGTCCTACTGCTGGTCGTCACGAACAATCTTTCGGAGAATATCTCCGAGAGTCCTGTTCGTGATCTCGGTCTGACCATCAGTCTGAGGATGGTAAGACGAGGAGAAGCGGAGCTGAGTGTCGTATACCTCGTGGAGCCGTCGCGAGAATCGGCTGGTAAAGCGAGGGTCACGGTCAGATATGATGCTGAGAGGTAAGCCATGGTCACGCACGACTCGGTCAAACACGATGTCGGCGACCTCACGTGCACTGAAAGCATAGCGGCACGGAAGAAAGCGTGCACGCTTCGTGAAGCGTTCGACGATGACCAGGATAGCATCATGAACGCGAGGGGTCGGAGGACGAAGAGGACCGATAAAGTTGATCGAGATGGACTGCCAACGACCCTCAGGGATAGGAAGAGGCTGGAGCAAACCATAAGGTAGGTGGTTCGCACTGTTCACCTCCTGACAGGTGGGACACTCTGCGACGTAGTCCTTCACAAAGTCCTTGCGGTTCGGCCAGACGTACAGGCGGCTCACACGAGCCAACGTCTTGTGGAAGCCCATATGATCGGCAGTTGCCTGGTCATGGAACTCTGCTACTGCTCGGACACGTAGCTGTCCAGTAGAGGGAACGCAAATACGGGGCTCTCTGGTGCTCTGTGAACCGTGCCAGTACACAAGACCGTTGTCCCCAAGAGAGTAGTTCGGGACGGTCTTGCCACTCCGAAGAGTTGCGTGGATGTCGCGATAGTCGGGGCAGTGGCGGTACTGAGTGCGAAACTCGTCGATCACCGAGTGGTGGACGGTGGTGACCGAGATGGAAGA